GCAACTTGCTACTACTTAATTCAAGGTCTACGGCTATGACTGCTTTATGCCTTAGTTATTTCTCACCTGGACTATTGTTGGTTCCTTGGCAAGCCCTTTCTGTTCATCTGTCATGGTTTTACTGTCTATTCAAAACCCAGAAACACATTTACTTTTTTTTCCCACCAGCTATAATTCTCAAATCAACCCTTACTCAGGCAATTATACCAGTTTCCTGTTTCATCAGAGAATTCAATTTAAAACTTTAGTGCCAGTGGTTAAAATACTTACTTCATACATAACTTCAAGTTTGTATGGTTTTAATTCACATTTATGTTTCTGTTCACACTTTGCATTCTTTAATTGATTTATTTGTTAGCTGTGCCATCTGTAGATTTTAAGTACTGAGCTTTCACAAATGACTTTTCTTCCCCTTCTGAAAGCTGTTTTCAAAACTATTTCCCTCACCTTATTGCAATTAAATCTGTGCTACATTCTCATCTTCCAGAGTTGAACATTTTTATAGTGTTCCCTTCTTGTATCTTCATGCTAAGTTAGAATGTTAAACAGTTCTGGGCATACACAACAATAGAACTTTTTAACCCTATACCTATCATGTTTGTGTGATATCCCATGGGAAGGAGCTCTCTGACTTGAGCCCTGTAATCTGCTCTACAGGCATCAGGACAATGCAAGTCTCAGTGGAATAAGGGTTCCTCAAAGTTTGTTGGTTCTTTAGGTTGGTTGGTGATTGTCCATCTTGTGAATGTGCAGAAGACCCCTGACTAGCTTGGAGTTTGTTCACATGAACAGCTCTCTTCTAGCTTATAGTCCATAGCTTTGAGTGAAGGGTCCTTTCCATCTTGATACCCAGCTCCTACCCTGGTGTGAGGAGTCTGGAGGTGATCAATAAATGACTGTTAGATGAGTAAATTATAAACCCAGGTTGGTTACTTTTAACAATCTAAAAGAAGATATGGCCATTCTCAGCATTGAACAGGGAATAAAGAGACACGTTGCCTTCCTCTGGACTTCACTCCATCTGGTCAAGGTCTTGGAAGTATTATGACCTATGAGGGTGGAAGGCCATGCATCAGTTCCCATCTTTCCCTTTGCATCAAAGTTGTTGACTGGATGGCATTCTCCAGTTCTTCTCTGAGTGGCAGTGTGCTTATGGACGATGAGAGTCAGGGTTCTTTGCCTCTGACATCCAGGTATCCTTGCAAAAATACCTTTGAGTGTAGGTGAGTTTTAGGATTTTGACCTCTGGAAGTACTTTGCTCCAAATGTTTATTGGTAGAAAAATCAAATCGCTCCAGATCCTTTCCACATATGGCACATATGAATCAACGTCTCACAATGGTTCTCACCTTGGCTGCACTCAGGGGTCACCTGGGAAGCTTTAAAACACATCGATCCCTGAATCAATTATTATTATTATTATTTTTTTTCATCCCAGAATTCTGATTTGATTTTGGGGTGTGGCCTTGACACAGGAGACTTTAATATTTCCCCAGTTGATTCTAATGTGCAACCGAGGTTGAGAATTGCTGATAATAGAGTATTAGTTTTAAATACTCAAAAAGGCTAGAAGTCTTAATAATGCATTAGACATTTTGTTTTACCTTAATATAGCTATTTTTGAACAGTTTTTCATGTAAAAATACTCCTAACGACTATCACTGGACTGCATAGAACAATATTTTTCTAGTGTCAGTGGTAGACCACCTGGAAAGCTTGTTTAATATGCAGAATTTTAGACCTTACCTGGGGACATTCTGATTCAGTACATTTGTGGTCAGTCCCCGAATCTGCATTTTAAACAGTGCAGCCATGTGATTCTTGTGCACACAAAACTAGATAAGCGATCGTGCCACAGACAGACAGCTAAGTAGGTTGAAACAGGTTGTGGTAGTTCCAACAAGGAGTGTGCCCTTTGGTGGTCTTATGTCCCTGTGTCATAGAAGAATAAGACCTCAAAGTATGGAGAAAATACAGGTTCCCATTTTCTTTGTAAATGTCTAAATAGTCTAGTTTGGGGGATGCAAATACAAATTGACAACAGTAAGAATTTTTGGGAAAAAAAAGTGTGAATCATCTGGAATGTCTTTCAATTTGTGCTTAAAAAAAAAAAAATCAGTCCTTGGTCCACAAATGTCTTCTAGGAATAGAAAAAATTTTAAGGCACCTAGTTACATTGGACAGATTTAAGAACACTCAGGATAACAAACTCTATGAGCTGTAGGACAAGCACACATTTTAGTTTAAGGCTGAAAGACTCCTCTATCTGGCTTAAACTTCCTTGGGAATTTAAGGAAATAAAATGAATTACTCAAACTGGAACTACGTCAAAATGTCAAGTTAACACATTTTGGCTTGTAATGGTGCCAAGGGATCTAGTGTTTGAATGATCAGGGCCTTAGGTTTCCAAATCATTTCAAAGATCATTTTATTACCAGGATGCTGGAGTTTTCATTTTATCTTATTTTCTTTGTTCTTTCTATCTGTGCTTTTACCCAGGTGAGGCTAACCAAGACCTGACAAGATCATACCATCACTAATTAAAACAGCTGCAGAGAAAGATGCCAACACAGAAGTCCACAAATTCAGAAAACATTTTTATAGTTTTCCCATGGAAATGAATAATGCATCTGGTTTTCTATAGACTCTTCTTGGGTTTTTTGAGAGTTGAATAACTCATTATTTAAGGTAGTAGGATAACTAAGTAAGAGTGAGAATCAGTGGACTGTGTTTGCCATCGTTTGTGTTTCTGGCAAATTTTCCTGATTGGTGCCTTTTTTCCCTAATATTTGTTACCTGCTCGATAACTTTGTCATGACTCTCACACCCAGTTCCTGGCTGCAGAGATGGGCTCATAACCTGGGTCAGTCTAATCTTAGTATCCCTGTATGCAACAGCTGGTCCAAAGGCTGGTTATAAGGCTCCAAGCTGTGTTAATCAGGGTCCGTTAGAATTCTCCACATAGAGTGGGAGAAGTGGCCCAGCTTTGGGGGTCGGGGTACAGAGAAGATGTAAAGGTGGAAAGCCTCATTCCCACTACTTGGAGAGAGCCTATTTGCAGTAGCAAGAATGGAGCAGAAAGCCAGCAGAAAGGAGAAGGCACTGAGAATCCTGGGCGTCGAACCTTGGTTCTAATTCCCACAGCCCGAGTTCCTGCAGTTTCTCGGATCCTGTGAGCTCTCCTCTAGCATCCTTTCTTTTGCTGCAGGAACTAATAAATCCCCTTTGGCTTAAGCCGGTTTGAATTGGGTTTCTAACATTTGCGACTGAAATTCTAACACAGATGAAAATGCCGTGTATCCTTTTACAGACCAGAAAACGGAGATTAACTTGCCTAGGGCCACATATCACAACAGGAATTGTGGCTTTCTGGCTCTTCAGTCTACTTACTGGCTTGCTCTGCCTCAAGAAAAAGCTGGACCTCTCAGGGTTAGTGGGGTCTAGTGTTTAATAATCCCTAAGACAGTCATCATTGGTCCCAAGCAGACTTGTGAGTGACTGGGTACACCAGCCTCAGTTCTGAGGGCTGAAAGTGCACTCTCAGAATTTGGGGCCACAGCCCTGTAGCTGAGCGTAGCTGAGCTAGCTGCACTGAGTACTGCCCCAAAGTGGAGATATGCTGCATAGAACTGAGGTCCAAAAGACGCAGTTTCCACGTTCCTTCCAAGAGTTGAGTTCCTGGCACCTTGAATGACCTAAGGCATTGAGTGTGACAGTTAAAAGGACAAAAAAACCATCTGGTTACAACAATTTTTGTAACTGCTTTATTATAGTCAATACCCAAGCACCAAATTTGTGACAGTAACCAGCACACTCCCATGCAAAGAGTGTACTAGTAATGAACATCTGTAACAACTTTGCATGTCCAGTTGGCCTTAGGCTAAATAAAATATAATACCCTTAGATACAGCAGATTTCTGAGGTAGACGAATGATCGGTCGCAATTCTTGTCCTTGTCCTAGCTTCGTATGCCTTTATCTTTGCTTGAAATGGCAGTGTGTCCCATTGTGGGCAGTTACCTCCTCAGCTGACTAACGCTGGGCTTACTCAGAACTGCTTTGACAGATGTAAGCTAGAGGGTCTGACGACGCCCCTGCGCACGGTTAGGCTTACTCTCTTATGCCTCTGCCACTTGGTGTAAGTGGGAATCTCTATAACCTAAAATGAAATTTCACCTATTTTTTGAATAGGCAGTATTCACATGACATAAATTTCAAAGGTACCAAAGGGCATACGGTGAAAAAGCAAGCATCTTCTTTACCCTCATCCTCAACCACCCAGGGTCCCCTCCCCAGAGAAAGCTGGTTTCCTTCCAGGTGCTTGTGTAACCTTCCTGAGAAACTGTGTCCTTATACAGGAGAAGTTGAATAGCAGTATTTATGGTTAAGTCAGAGCCAGGCAAGAGAGATAGAGGCTTCTGGATCAGTCTAAGAATCTTAATCCCTTATGTGAGGATGCATTATGATGAGAGAGACTAGCTCCTGCAGACAGACCTATGAAGGGCGTGGGATAGACCAACTACCAGTCTACAAAAGCACTTGTCATTAAGTGCTATCACTTTTAAAACTCTTAAAAATTTACTGTTTCCAAAAGGCACTAAAAATTAGTTTAGGGTGTACCTGAAGAATCAGGTTGGGTGTTGCTTCTTGGGCTAAAGCTGGGAGCACAGAAGCATATAGCTGTGATTTCAATTCATGCCAGACTCAAATGGTTTCGTTCTGCTCTGTTAGAGACAGGTCATTGTAGTTAAGACCCAACACATGAAACACATGGTAAAAGTAATTTTCATCTATTTATAGCAATATACAGGTTAACTAATTTCTCATTCTACCCTGTTTGGGACTCTACATTTAAAAAAATTGAGCTGAAATGGAGACTTACATATTTAATTTTAATTAGTTTGTACCACAGATAGACTGTACTTGATATTTTCATTTGCAAAAATGTTTAAACCTTTAAGTCTCCTAAAAGGGTAATAAAATGAGCAAAACAACTGTTGATCAAATTGAAAAATTTATTTACAAAACTTAATTACTTTGCTTAAAAAATTCAATTCATGAAGATTAACCAAAACATAAGCCCTATCAAAGTTTATTATAATAATCTTTCATAGAATCAATAGCTTAAAAAAAACTGCCAATGAATACTTTAATGTAAAATTACAATGTAAAAACAGGAACTTTAATTCTAGTGAGTAGAATAGAAGCAGATAAATAATCTTCAAAGGGAAAAAACACTTGGGGGTGGGGAATGGCATAACAAGTAAAGCAGGAAATTTAAATATCAGTTTAGTTCCTCATTGCCAACATGGCATTTATATCCCAGATGAGATTTCGTAATTGATCCATAATTTGCTTCAGCTGTTGATTCTTCTGTTTGAGTTTCTGTAGAAACAAAAGAATTTATCAAAAATGTTTCATGAATTATAGACCATGAAGTTATGAAGATTAAAATGTCATAAGTTAGAACTCTAATGATCCAGACAGAAATTAAGTTGAATATTTCCTTAACGTGGAAGGTCTCGATCCTCTTCTGGCCAGAAACCCTCTCTGAAAGACATGCTGAATTCTAATTCAGCCCACAGAGGCCTCTGGCTCCAGACCCTGACCCTTCCTTTCTGCTTCCACTCCCACCATCAAAAGAAAGTAACCTAAACATTTCATTGTTACAAAACCCAAGATACAGGTTTTCCAAGATGCAGTGTGACATAATGGTTAAGAGCGTAACCTCTAGAGTCGGATTCTCTGTGTTTATACTCCTCTGCATCAGTAACTAAATGTGTGACATTGGCCAAATTACATAACCTCTCTGTGCCTCAGTTTCCACATCAGAAAAGGGATAATAACTGAACCTACCTCACAAGAGTTGCTAAGAGGATTAAAAAATTTGAATGACAGAACTGTGAGAACTGGACCTGGCATATAAGGAAGCATTCAGTGAATGTTCCTTATAGATACTGAATGTAAAAAAAACTGTCAGTATAGGAAATAAAGTTGAATGAAAAGAAAATTCCTGATGCAACTGGGCTTTCAAAAATGTGGCAGAAGTCAATGGCCACAGCATGAAGTGTGATCCACTTCTGACTCTGAAAACTACAGACCCAGCGGCACAGTCTTGCACATAGTCTTGTTCACAACAGAGACGTGCTGGATCCCCTGAAGGCCCACAGCCCGCGGCCCACAGCTCCATGTCTCTGTATCTGGGCTGCTACTAGACCATGGTTTATTAATTTCTCTTTAAGCATCCTTCCTTCAAATCCTATGTGGCAAATGTCTGCTTAGGTAAAACAAAACAGAACTTGTGGTCAGAGTACTTACTAGTTATTAGAATAATAATATCATTCACTAATCTTTTAGAAACATTACATTAGGAAATAATATCATTAATTAGATAATTCTAAAGATACTATATTAAAATACCTCCAGATAAAGTAGTATATATGTTCATTATAGAGAGGCCTAAGAATCTTCATTTTGATTTCATTAAAGAGCCAACTAAGATGAAGTTAGTTACTCCTATTTTTCTAGAGTTAGACAAGTAATAGGAAGTAGCTGAAAGGGAGGACTGAGAAACTCTTACTGGAAAACAGAAAAACAATTTACATAAGTTGTAATGTTCAGTATTAAATTTAATTCCTATTTGAGAAGGGAACTAGTACAACACAGATAAAACAACAGGCCTGTGCAGTTTAGCGTTTCATGAAGCTCCCTTTAACGCTGTTTGGGGGAGGAAGGTACCATTGGAATTTTAGTGACTTAGTCTCCTTGTTCAGCCTTCAGATGGCCCATCTTCTGGGCTTTGCTGTCAGAAGTATGTGGCAGTTATTGAAGTCACTGTGTACAGAAGGTCATCAAATGGACCCTCATAGCTGGGTGAGATGAGGGACGACCAGATGGCCAGTACCAAGCCCATGAGGTTCTCTGCATCCTAGAGAGCCAGAGACGGATCCTTCTGCCAGCAGGCAAGGGTACCCGCACAGAGAGGGCTAGAAGAGTGGAGGTGCTCTACGGTTTCCTGGGAGGCTGGAAACCTCAGTCCCAGTTCTAACTTGGCCTCTAAAATTCCTCCTCGGTTTTCTCATGAGATGGCATCGTATATAACTTACGGGGCCCCTGCCGGTTCTACTTTCTGTACACCCAGACCGAAGAGGACAGTCAGTTATGCAGACACATGTGCTGAAAACCAGTTACGTTTAGTTGAGTGAACTAATTACTGGTGTCAACACGGTTCAGAGTCAGCTGCCCGTCACACTGAGCCATCACTTGCCCTGCTAGCTGTGAGAGAGAGACTACAGCTCCTGCGACCTCCCCTGTCAAACCTAACTTTTTTAGGGAGAATGGAAAAGAGCTACTGAGTAAGAATAAAAGGAAGAGAAACAATATGAGATTTTAAAAAGTCTTATTTGAATTAGTACCTTTTGACATACTTTGAATATGCTTAAACTTTTAGGTTTCACAGCTTTTCTTTGGAATGGAATTCTAAGCCTGTAACACTTTCTGTTCTACATTGAGGGTATATTATGTCCCAGGCTCTGGGTTAGGCATTGTGAGGAGAGGAAAATGAATAAGGAACAGTCCCTGCCTTGAAGAAAGTCTGCATCGAGGAGGAGGAAGAGAACGCCCACATGACCAGATTGTCTAACCTGGTAATGCCGATGCTGTGTAACCCAAAGAGAGAAACACTGCCTCCTACTGGTAATGTCAGCAAACAAAGGGCCTAGAAAAACTGGTCGTCAGCAATAGTGGAAGGGGGAGAAACTTGAGCTTGGTAGTGGGCAATAGGGACCCATTAAACTTCTCAAAGAAAAAATATGATTTAATCTTGAATGAGACAGGTTAACTGGACAAACGTGTGGGAAAGATTCTCCTGAATCATTTCGGTGGTGAAAAAAATCTGTGTCCATGGAAAAGAAGAAGGAGGATTGATTTAAGTTTTAAAAACTGAAAACCATTCAAAGGCCAAATCTAGTGAAATAAGCTCAATGGTCACATTTTTGGTATAAATTATTAGAAGCAATAAAATTATATTTTTGGGTAGTTAAAAATATACTTTAGGGGCACCTGGGTGGCTCAGTGGGTTAAAGCCTCTGCCTTCGGCTCAGGTCATGATCCCAGGGTCCGATGTGGGGCTCTCTGCTCAGCGGGGAGCCTGCTTCCTCCTCTCTCTCTCTCTGCCTGCCTCTCTGCCTACTTGTGATCTCTCTCTGTCAAATTAAAAAAAAAAAATATATATATATATATATATATACTTTAAAGTCAATATCAAAACTGGTCCAATGATTTCCATTATGGATGTATCACTGGCATAAATGGGTCATTTAACCAATAGGATTGCTTTTAAAGTAATACTCATTTGGAAATATAAATTCTAATATACTTGTTTAAAAAAATTAGCCTCATTCTTAAAAGAATTAAGTAAGAGAAATAAAAAAATGTAGGGTATTTTCAAGGTAATATTCAACTCTAGGTAACAGTAATTAAAAAAATATGTATTTTGCAGCACTTGGAAAGTTTTTCTCAAAGATGCCACAAAGTTTTAAATTAAAAAATTAGCATACAAGTAAGATACCTAGAGCCAAAACACATCATGACACTGTCAACAGCAAAGCTGACAGTTATGCTTATTAGTGGTTAAATTGTAAATAAATTTTCATGACATGATACAGGATTTAATATATACAGTCTTGCCCCTGATTGATTTTAACAGAGGTTGACAGCTGCTATTATCAAAATCCATCAGCTGTGCCTAATTTGTTACATTAACAGGTGAATGTGTAAGTAGAGCAGACACTTAAAAAATATATTTATGTTATCATGCCATGTAATTTAATATTCATATAAAGGCTGTGACTGTTGGTCAAAAATGCTTTAATTTCTAAGTGCAGGGACTCAATTATATGTCAGCCCTGTACAAAATACCCACATACCTCTTTCATTTTTCTATCAACAAAAGAGTTTAAGCAAAACAGAACTCATTCTGATCCCCTTCAAACATACAGTCTTAAACAAGTATTTAGTCTTTTTGAGTATTAGGGTTTATAGATTCCAGAATGTATGAAAAGAAAATGAGAAGTATTTAAATTAGCCAAAAATCTGACTATTGGAACTAGGACATCCTATAATCTCATGATTTCTATCAAATACTGATGACAAAATTTTGTGCCCCCAAATGTCATGGCCTATGGTAAGTATTGGTGGTATGTATATTGTTATAAGTCAGACCATATCTTAAATAGTAAACACACTATCAGTGTGTTGTTCTGTATAATTTTAAGTACACAAAGATGTGATGATATTTTGAAAATGAATGAAAGTTAACTGAGGGGTACCTAAAGCTACTTATTTTATGTAGCTTTTTTAGAATAAAAATAATGTATACACTATAATAAATTTTTGAGTATTTTTAATTGAATGCCAAGAATACAATTTTATTCCTGCTATATAGATCCATAAAGCAACTTAATCATTTAAAATAAGCAAATATCAATGTACTAAAAATATGGTCTGACTTTTTTAAAGTTTTTATTTAAATTCCAGTGTCTTTTGGGAGGGAGGTTTTTCTTTTTTTTGGTAAATATCTATCTATCACAACGAATGGGTACATGAAAGTGTGCTGCTTGAGAGTCTTCTGTGTCTTCTATCCTCAGAGAAGACACTTACCCATTTGTGTGAAATGTGCACAGTGGTAGACAACACATCTGACTGATTCATGGCAGAAACTCCCACACTTACAATGATAGTTGGCACAGAGCAGGTACTCAAATATATGAATATTTTAATATTCAATTAAAAAAACCCCAAGAGCCAAATCAAAAGCTTTCTAAATCCCAGAAGAGAAAAAACAAGGAAAAAAAATGCCCCTAGCAATCATTTTTAAGCTTGTTCTTTGTTTTCCAGTTAAATATGGTCTGTTGGTATTAAAAAAAAATATATATGGCTACCTTTAAAAATTATTCATTTTAATATTCTGTATCAAATTACTTTGATGTGTGTTACTAGCTCAGATTGCTGTGAACCTTAAAGTTCTACCACCACCTAATAATTTAAAAAATCTGTGTAACAGGTAAGAGAATTGATAAAAATAGACAAAAGGAATATAAAAATTTAATTTTATGAATACAGATATTGATAAGTAGTTGAAAATTAAATCAAAGAATTTAAACTTTTTTTTAGTAGCATCTGTGTGATTAAATAGATTAGGACAACATTTTACCATCTGCAGGCAGTTATTAAGAAAACATACTTCAGAGAAACATTCAGGTGTGTGAGTCATCAAGGCAGAAAAATATATCCATTGGTCATGACCTTACTCAGTGCTATAAAAATTTCTAATTATATATTTTAATCTTCTAGAAGGGAAGTACAAAGTTGGAAGAAAAGAATAA